CTTCAAACACTTACTTTACCGACTCTAGCAGTATTCTTCAAACACTTACTTTACCGACTCTAGCAGTATTCTTCAAACACTTACTACGCACCAAACATGCCTTGTTTCATGTTGAACTTTCTAAAAGTTACAACCAAATACGTATACGCTTCGCCAAAGAGTCCGATGAACCAAATGATTAATTAAATTCGTTTCATTACTTCTTTGTGTAATGATCGTTAAAAACTCGTGCTGACATTCAATTGACTGAAAGTCTCTAATTGTTCAGGCTATCAAATAGAAAATAAATCACCTGTCTCGCATATACTCGTATTACCTTTTACTCTCAAGCCTAAGGTTCAAAACACCGAAACGTCCATCCACCTCTATTCTATACCTGATTCAACGCTGGTTTTATTATTCCCTTTCCATTTATTTGTTCTGATTTTTTTTTCTCTGAATTTCACTGTTGTCAAAAAATCCCGTCACACAATGTACCTCAAACATCAGTGTTATGAAAATATGTGCTGACGTTATGACTGTAATAAAAAGGGCCGAAATCAAATGAAGCAAACTTATGAGTAACTATAGTTTAACACATTTTACAGCTGGATTTAGCACAATGAACTAGACCCTTCATACACTGTATCAAAATAAACAGTTTTTTTGGAGGTTTTTTTTTTTTTATGGAATGTACGTTACAACTCTCGCTACTGAACTAAAGACTGTACTTTTATTTTTTGTTGTTATATCAAAAATTGTTATTGTAGAAACAGAATTTACACGTTTAAATTGAGTTAAAAAATAACGCATCTTTACTTTATGAAAATGTCTGAAACCAGCCAGCCGAAAGTGTGAAAATAGCTGGTATTTCAGTGGGAATACTATATAAAGCTCATTTCAAAATGTATAAAATATCCAAAGTTATTCATATTCGGCATGAATATTTACATTACTATGGAAAACAGTAATTTTTTGAAACAAATTAATTATTAGGCATTATTTAGGAAAATTATTGAAAGGTATGATTTTTTTTTCTTTTAATACAAATACGACATTTTTCACTACACTAAACAGTTGTTTGTGGGAAGGCAGCTAGTCAACTTCACCCACCGCCAACTCGTAGGCTACCCTATCAAATAGCGGGATTTGATAGTCACTCTTATGAAGCCCCAACGGCTCCAAAGTGCGGAGCGCGATGCAGTTGTTGTTGTTTGGTGGTAACAAGGTGCCAAATAAAGATCCATATTCTGGCAGTCTTCTTACCGGGCCGTGCTTGGTCCCACGCTAACCAAGTTTTTGTTTTGTTTTGTTTTAGCGCATAACCTACACAATAGGCTATCTGCGCTTTGTCAACCACGAGACATAGAATCCCGGATTTTAGCGTTGCAAGTCGGTAAACTTAAAGTTGATCCACTGGGGGTCACACTAAATCATGGAACAATTACGTATTTACATTAACTAGCTACTGTGTTAGGAAGACTTTATCATATACATTTGTATAACGCTCCATTTCTTTGCCTATGAAAAATAGACGAACCAGTGATGTAGCAGGACATTGCTTAAGCCTAAAGGTGAAGATTGTTTGTTTTTAATTATGCACAAAGCTACACAAGGGCTATCTGTGCTCTGCCCACCACGAGTATCGAAACCCGGTTTCTATCGTTGTAAGTCCGCAGACATACCGCTGTGCCACTGGGGGGCATAGGTGAAGAAATTAAATAATGTCGTGAATATTCTGCAACAGAAAGCAAAGATAACTCGTAATTTCAAAGAGCTAGTATAGCGCCGTTAAATGAGATGGTTTATATTATTGGTCGACTGTTTAAAGACACCTCTCATCAGAGACTATTAACAGTGGCAATAGAAATAAAATATCTTTACTCCTAGGTGAAACTGTGGCTGCCAACTAATGGATTGACCCACGGGCCCCAGGCAATTCAGAGCCTCAAGCATCCACCCCCACCTTGTGTGTTTCTGTACATTGCGTGAATAAAGCAGGCGATTATGACAAAGCAACCAATGTTATCAATCGACCCTAATTTTGAACTTCTGACCTGAGGGAAGGTAGCCAGTTAGCAGTACCCTATTATCCATTATCTACGGTAAGGATTTTACTGTCATTCTTACGACGCACCCACTGCTTAAAGTGCGGGGAATATTTGGTGATGTCGCACGGATTCGAACCCATTTTGAACTACTGACCAGAAGGAGGGAAGCCAGTTAGCGACACCTTACCACCTATATCCTCGTTAAGGAGTTTACTGTCACTCTTATAATGCGCTCACAGGGAATACTTAGTGATATCGCCCGGATTCGAACCCGGCTCCCCAGCTTAGAAATGTAAAGCTCTACCAGAGGGTCAACCTGCGACCACCTGGCGAGTTAGAGAATGAAAATGATATTACATCGCTATCACTAACGTGTTTTGATTTCGTGACATAGGTGCTTGTATTAAGTCCTAGACAGAGATAACATTTCAGTGTAAAGTTGGATTTAATGCCGCTTACTGTTGACTAAATCAGTGCGCTATGCGTTTATTTTTTCTGCCGGCAGATGGCACATAATGTAGACTATGAAAAACGTTACTGTCCTTACTGTTGACTGCTTATAGTTTGCAGTTGTTTACTAACAAGCACTGATACCGATGTCCAATTTCTTTCAACCAATAAATTAGAGCTTCTTCGTTGCTAACTCGATCCATGTGTTTAACAACGACGTGTTTACAGCAATTATACTGTAACCATTACCATTCTAAAGTTTGTTTGTTTGTTATGGATTTCGCGCAAAGCTACACGAGGGCTATCTGCGCTGGCCGTCCCTAATTTAGCAGTGTAAGACTAGAGGGAAGGCAGCTAGTCATCACCACCCATCGCCA